TAAAGCAGCTCCTTCCACAGGGCCAGACCCTGAGTCCTCAATCAGCTGGTGACTTTTTTTTTTAATGCCATTAGAAACAGTATCATTTGCTCATTACTGCCTAATACATCATGGTCATTAAGCACACATTCAGTCCCCACTAAACCTGATGGGTATAACTGTTTGCATTTTACAAATTAGGAGGCTGAGGCCAGAGAAGCTAGCTTATTTGGAGACAAAAAGTTTCCAAGTGGCAAACACTTCTGTCTGTATTGCCCTAGGACCTCTGTACCTCAGGCTTCCAAAAATAGTCGATATACTTACATCCCAAGGTTATCAAGGACAAGTTGAATTTCTGCTGCTTTAGGAAAGGCACAGCCTAAACTGCTCTCTAGCCAATGAGGTGGGGTAGAACTGACCCCCTGGTTGTATTCTTTGAGAACCCATTTGGAGATGCCAGAAACCTGAGCTTAGGTGATCAAATCTGTTTCTTACTGGTGACTGCACAGTCCCTGACCACTGGACAGTGCCTGCATTTCTGTAAAATGGGAACGAAGTAAGGTGACTTGTTCATTCTCTTGGGTTCCTGCAGAACCCAGGCCTATAAATGAATGTAAGTATTGTCAATTCAAAAACTCCCCACAAGTGGGGTTAGTGTGATTTTTCTTATTTAAAAAAGAATATTGCCAAAAATTTCAGCCTCCCTATATAAAACCCCAGTAAAACCTACTCAAGGAGTCCAGTTACCTCTCTGCCTCACTTCTTTTTTTTTGTTTGTTTTATTATTTTTTATTATTATTATTATTATTTAAAGATTTATTTATTTATATAAGCACTGGGTATAGTCAGAAGCACGGGAGGGTGAGAGAATTCACCAGAGCCAGAGCGGGGAGCAGAGCAGGCAGAAGGACTGAAGTACACTGCTGAGGGGAGCAGCGGGCAGCAGGAGAGGTCTGCGCGCCATGTGGGACCCTCCTCTGGTGGCCGGGGAGCAGCCGGGAATCGAACCGGCGCTGCAGAAGCTGCAGGTAGCTTCACAATCCAGCGCCTTAACGCTGCGCCACTGGGGAGGCCCTCTGCCTCACTTCTAATAACGCTACAGCAAAGTGCAATTTTTTTGTGCAGTAGAAGCCAGAGAAAGGATCATGCATTCACTAAGTCAGGAGGAGGGGCTGATGCTGCTGGTGCTGCCGACATGTGCCAAATATGTCTCTCAGCTTGCTACGCAAGTAACAGGTGTTCATCGGCTGGTGAGGATGGAGAGCAAGCCTCCTCCCACCCCCCAATTTGTCTGTCTTTCACTTGTCGAGGGTTTTGACAGGCATTTTGCAGTTCTCTGTCACAGAGCTAAGCATGGCTGCACATCATGCTGCTTAAAGCAATCCCAAGTCAAGGAACTCGAATCCCCCCTCAGAATTTGTGTTTGTTGATGTGGTAGCTATGCGTATTGGTATCCCTTCCACTTGACATGTGCCTGCTTTATTCATCCTGGTGGGCGGCACACAGCTCAAAAGTTTGACCCACGGTGACCAGATGTTGCCCCAGGTAAGATATTAGATTTGATTCTGGTGTCTGTCTAATAAGATCTAACATACCCATTTTCCTTGTTCCCTTGTACCCAGTGTATAACCTTTACTTATACCATGATCACTATTTCAAGTGTTTCTCTCTCACTAGACTCCTCTCAGCTTCTTGGAATTGGGATCCTGCAATATTCTTAATACATCTAGGAGAGTGCCTTGCATATAACAAAATGCTTAATACAGTGCATCTGAGGTACCTGGTAGTGTTTCCCTTGAAATGAAACCAGATTTGTTCTAGTTATTGAAAAGTCCTGGTGATTACATGACTAGAATTTCGTCTTTCACTGGGACCAGGTCCTAGTCCTAACTTCGTGGTTATTTCTATAGTTAGTCTTTTCAGTGATGAAGTTACCGTTTGCTTTATTATGTTCAGTAAACTTCATGTATAAGGAGACACCATTTAATAGTATTTACATGTATATCATCTGATACTTCTAGGTCCAGGACAGAATGTGCATTTTTGTTGGTTGGCTTTGCATGCTCACTGATGGCATTTTTTCTTTGCTGAGGTTTGTTGTTATTCTGGACATAGCCTGCATATCATAATGTGCTTAATTTAATTCATCTCACCTCACGTTTTATGCAGGGCGAAACTAAAGGAAAGAGTTTCCTCTTTGGGTTCTTGGTAAATATGAAGGGAATACAGTCACCCACCACCGACTCAATTCTTCTTTGACTTGCCACATTTTTTTTTTTTTTTTGAATGGTTGGGCAGTTATGCAGGCCAGGAGAGGGTAATCACATTTCATGCTTCAGGGTGTGATCTGATCGTAAGAGGGTCAGGAAGGACACCTTGCCTCCCCTGTAGAATTGTTTGCTTGGCCAGATTCACTAATTGGGGTGAGGGGTTGCTAAATTCCTGTGAAGCACTGGGCATTTGTAGCTTCAAGATGCCAGAAGTGATCTTGCAGGAGTAATGGTCTGATCTTCTATAGTAGCTTCACGCCATCACAGCAAAGTGATATTTCAGTTTTCTCTCAGTTCCTCACTGCTATTTTTATCCTTTGGAATCAGAGTATATATCCCTCAATAAATACTATGGGAAGGAACGTTAGTGCTGAAAAGCTATCTAGAAATTATCTTTATAGACTCTAACATTTTTGTTCTAAAAGTTAACATGACTTGTTCAAAAGCATATTAGGAGCTGGAGACAGGACTGAGATTAGAACCTGGGTTTCTGGTCTTCAGTCAAGAGTTGTTTCCAGTTCATTACACCTGGGATCTGCTGTACACATGTCAGTCAGTTTCAGCTACACCAGCATTTTTCAAATTTAAGCATTCATCTGAAAAAATGCAGGGACTTGTTAAAGCACAGATTGGTGGGCTCCACCCCCAGGGTTTCTGATCCAGTAGTAGATCTGGCAGGGAACTGAGATACTGCATTTCTAATGGGTTCTCAGGTAACTCTGATGCTGCTGGCCCAGGGCTTATACCTTAAAAACCATGGAGATACACTAAAGTTGTTAAATAGGAATATTTCCCTCTCTTTCTGCATCAGTTTGCTTCATCTTTTATTCACTTACTCATCAAATATTTAGTGAACACCAGCCAAGCACCTGGCATGTTGGTCCTGTGGATAGGAGCTATGAAGATGACAAGAGCACAGTCCTCTTCTTGAGGAGTTCACAGTAGTGGGAAGGAATGGAAGTATAAATAATTACTGAGCAATCTTAAGTGAAATGATAGAAGTATGTTCAAAGTGTAATGGCAAAGTGTCATGACATGGAGACTTTTCAAGCAGAGTTTCACCAGAGGTGACATTTGGGCTGGCCTTTGGAGACAATGGGATTTCTCCAGATGGAGTAGGGACAAAGGATATGATAGGCTAAAGATATGGTATAGAAAATGGAATTTTTAGGGAGAGTTGGCTAAGTGAGAGTGGCAGGAACATGGAATGGTTAAGAAGTGGAAGAAGATAAAGATGGATAGATATGGAGGGTGAAATCATGAAAGTCATTTTCTACTCTGCTGAGGAATCTAGAGTTCATCTTACCTGTAGCAGGGATGCTGAAGGGTCTTTAAGTTATGTTTTAAGATTGACTAGGGTGTAAAGCAGATGAGAGTGGTTTCTTAGAAGCAGGTATTAAGGATTAAATTAAGGATTACTGTTAATCTATATGCAAATGGTGTAGCTGACCTAAAACTACTAGAACATTGAAGGGTTAAAATAACCAGTACTTATTAACAGATCACAAGTAAACAATAAAAGTCTTTTCTATAATTCCATGAAGTCTGTGGCACACCCACAGATATGCCAACTTGTGAGATGGAAATGCTGTGAAGAGAGAAAATAGAGGAGAAGTAGGGTGGAGGGAGACAAGTTTATTTGAGACATGTTGAAATTCTTCGTTATTTGTAGACAGACAGGTAGGATACTACTGTGATTGGGAAATGGAATCTAAGATTGAGGAGACTGGTCCAGCTTCAGGAGAGATCAGAGTAAAGTTATAGAAGTGTATGAGCCTGCTGAAGGAGATGAAAACAATTTCTTGTTCAGGGCTCATGTGTAAATTGCTGTCTGAGATAAGTGATATAACCTCAGTTACAAAGAAGGGGGAGTCAAATTAATGCTGCATGTTAAACTAAGGGGTAACTAAGAAAAAAAAGCCCAGAAAATTAGATTTCTGAATTTCTAATTTTGATAACTGAACATCTTGAGAATGAATGCTAGGAAAATGTAGCAACACTAATTTCCAATTAGTGCTCTTTGCTAAACCACTAGTGGTTCATCACTTGAAGCCTTGGGAAAATTCTTACTTGCCCAAGTCTATTATCTGTAAAACAGGGTTGCTGAGGAGGGGATTAAACGATTCCTGAAAATCACTTAGCATAATTTTTGGCACAAGACAAAGGCTCTGTATTTTTTATTTTAAAGATTTATTTGTTTATGCATACAAGAACTGGGGTCTAGGTCAGAGGTGGTGGTAGGAGGGTGAGAGGATTCACCAGAGATAGAGTGGGGAACAGAACAGGCAGTTCTACTGAAATACACTGCTGAAAGGAGCAGCGGGTGAGACAGGAGAGGTCTGCTGCGCCATGTGGGTAGCTCCCTGTCAGGGGATCGAACTTGTGCTGCAGTGGCTGCTGATAGTTTTATAGTGCTGTGTCTTAACCCCTTGCACCACCAGGGAGACCCTGTATTTTTTTTTTTTTTTTTAAATATTTAGCACTGTAACAATTTTTCTGGTATATAAAAATAAAATATTCAAGAAAGCAAGAAAAAAGAAAAAGTGAAGATAATAAATGTAAATACAATTATGTTCAGATGGTCCCTTCTTGCCCCCTCTAAAATACCCAGAATGGGGCCTCCCCAGTGGTGCAGCAGTTGAGCGCTGGGTTGCAAAGCTGCCCGCAGCCTCTGCAGCGCCGGTTCAATCCCCGGCTGCTCCCCGGCCACTGCAGGAGGGTCCCAGTGGCGCGCAGACCTCTCCTGCCGCACGCTGCTCCCCTCAGCAGTCTACTTCGATCCTTCTGCCAGCTGTGCTCCCCGCTCTGGCTCTGGTGAATTCTCTCACCCTCCTGCACTTCTGACTGTACCCAGTGCTTGTATAAATAAAAAATAAATCTTTAAGAAAAATAAATAATATACCCAGAATGGGGAATTAAGGTGGGTCTCACATGCCACCTACAAGGACTCTGGTACCAAAAACCACCCCTGATTTCTTATATTCATTTTCTATTGCTTTGTAACAAATTATCACAAACTTAGTGACTGAACACACATTTGTTTTCTCAGTTTCATAGCATGACTAGATAACCTGCTTATGGGTCTCATGGGCCAAGGACAAGGTTTGGCTAGAGAAAAGGTATTTACTCCTCACAGGGCTCTTTCTCAAACTCACGGTTGTTGGCCAAATTCATTTCCTTGCAATTGTACCATTGAGATTATGGTTTCTCTTTTAGCTACTGAGTCTGTGAGCACTTTCAGCTGCAGGCTGCTGGCAGCTTCCAGGCACGTGGCGCCCAAAGGCATTCCCAACATGGATGTTCTCTTTCTTCCAGGCCTGCATCAGACTTCAACATTGAATTCCCCACCTGCTTCTCATCTGACTTGTCTCTCACTGCTAGACCACGATTTAATGGATTCATGTAAGTAATCCATCTGGATCATTTCCCTATTTAAAGATCAGCTACTTTAATTATATCCTCAAAATTCCTTCACAGCAGCACCTAAAATGATATTTGATTGAATAACTGGAGGTGTGTATGTGTAGGCAAAGAGGCTGGCAACCTTGGGAACCGTCATGCATATTCTGCTACCACATTCCTGAAGTACATGCAAGATCAGTCACAGGACTGAACAGTGATTTTTAGTGGCATTGCTGCATTAACATTTGCCCTTTTGGCTATTTCTCTACACTCCATTTACATTTGAATGACAAGTTGCTGAATATCTCAAAGGCCAAGAGACAAGCTTTTAGAAAAGTGACATGTTTTCTCCCTGTGCTCTCAGGATACCTCTGAATGATACGTAATTATAGGTCTTTCACCTCTGACTCTGTGCTACTAACATGTATATAATCACAGGGTCAAGGCAAGGATTTATCTGTCATTTTTTAAAAAAGTTTTTTTAACTCAAAATAGCTTACTATTCCCGACTTCAAGATTTGAGAAGTCTCAGTTTGGTCAATGCAGTTCCCACAATAAATCAGTTGATGCCAAGCCTACTTTGAGGGGGTGCTTGAACATACTTGCCCTGAACATATTTTTAATTAAGGAGCTGTATTTTTTGTTGTCAAATTGACTGCCTTTGTTCAAGAGGCCTGTATTTCAAACACAGCCAGGCTAAGAAATCAGTAAGAAAAAGGAGTAATGAGCAAAAATGCTAAGTTGAGGCTGGGCTTGCAAGTACAAATTATGGCTGAGATAATTTTTAGAGTCACCAGAAATAGACATCTGCAATTGGTTTAGTCTAAGTGAAACTCCCAGTTTATACTGTGTGAAGGTTGACTTAATGGTATCTTGGACATCATGAAAAATGTCAGTGTTCATATCTATCTTCACATTTTGTTCAATATTCCCAAAAAAGCCATAAATGCATTTTAAACAACTCATTTTTGTACTTTTTCTCTCCTTCTTTGCTAAAGGTAATTGTGAGCCTTTATAAACTCGTATGTCCATGCTATATTCTTAAAACCCATAGATCATAACTAAGTTGGTGATTTTTCATTACTCACTGATTCTTAAGCCTAGTTTTTCTGCTCACCCCACTTCACCCCCCACAAATGGGAAGATAATAAGTGAACTTAATGCATTGTGGGGCCAGAGTGGTATCTCTTTACAGATCAGACTCATTCCTGAAACTCAGATCACTGGCAAAACTCAATGCAAATTTTGAAATACACTCCAAAAGGAAGAAAAACAAAACTTTTAACTACAGATTTTAATTAACCTGTGTAGGGTGTATTCTCACGTAGTTGCCTGTAAATGTGCTAGAGTAACACTTTGCTCCTATTTATGAATAGTTACATGGCTTCAAGTTGGGAAGCACCAAACATATTGGCAATATATCTAATGAACAGACAAGTTTTATTTGGGAAAAAACTCTTGCTTAGATTCATACTAATACAAAATCTGAGATGTTACACTTATATTACAGTAAGTTTGCGTTATTCTATTTATCTAGTAGGTTAAGAACAGTAATTTAGATTTGTGCTGTTAGCTTAACCTAAAAAAAAAAAATCCAAAAAATCAGATACAGCTGCCCATCAATAGAACGAATTGCCTTTTAAAGCAAGAAGTATCTTCTTCATTGTTTTAGAGGAAGCATGATCATATGCAAATTGGCCCTCAAGAAGGCAGCCTGCTTTGGGTCCACTATACTTCTTTCCAATGTATAACTTCTATATTCATTATAACCACACAAGTGGTTAAAATGTCACAAAAACCCTTATTTATTTTAGGTTTAAATGTCTTTCTTTTCAGTTGCAGATACATATAGTACCACCTTTACTGTAAACTTTGATATACACAATGCAAAAGTCTTACCACAATTTGTGAGGCTTTGACGACTAAGGCACTTCCAAGTCAATACTAGAAAAAGTAACAGCCTTAAAGTTACTTGCCTAATTTTCATTTGAAATTTAGTGATTGGCAGCTGAATTTATCTGTTTTTCTGCTTTGAAAAACAGCTGCATAGGACTTTACAAGGAAGCCTGGAAACATCAGGGGTGAAAACAATCTGGTAGGAAGTACAAATTTGTCTTAGAGATGAACTGGCTAATTTTGAGTCCTAATCTCAAAAACATTTCAGTTTTATCCCAGAAACATTTCAAGTACTTGTAGAGTCATTTTTTTAAAATTAAAAAGGTTTTGCATTTCTAATACTTTGATTTAAGTCTTATTGTCTCCTGATTTTTGATTGCCTAATTGTTTCATAAAGGTAATTTTAATTTTTTTTAAAGATTTATTTATTTATGCAAGAACCATGGTACAGGCCAGATGTGTGTGTGGGAGGGCGAGAAGATTCACCAAAGACAGAGTGGGGAACGGAACAGGCAGACTGACCAAAACACACTGCTGAGGGGGGCAGCGGGTGAGACGGAAGAGGTCTGCTCGCTATGTGGGCATCTCCATGGCTGGCGGGGATCGAACAGGCACTGCAGAGGCTGTGGACAGCTTCACAGTGCTGCGCTCAACTGCCTGCACCACCAGGGAGGCCCATAAAGGTAATTTTTAATGCCTTTTGGGCCATCCTAATAGAACAAAAACTGGCCAAGATTGACTTCTAAATGCAATCACTGACTTGCTGAATTAACCTGGGTGAAGCACTAGGACTTTTCCTGAAGTTCACTTACACCAATGAAATAACCACCTCAGAACAGATGTAAAAGTCTCATAAGGTAATGGATATGACAATGCCTAGGGAAGTATGAGTGGTACACAAAGTTTTATGTACTGCTACATATTGCATGGTGCCTAAACAGGTTAGGTTAGTAAGGTAACAGATGTTGACCCAATTTTGGGAGACATAAAAAGAACATTAAATAAAAAACAAAACAAAAAACAGCTTAATTCATTTCCCCATTTGGTTTATCATTTCCACTATCTTTTTTGTAGTAATGCTCTTTTCCCTCAGATAGGACACAGAATGTTTCTTTTCTAAGGATTTATTGGACCCTGTGGAAGAAGGCCACAACCTAAGAAGGCCACAAATGCCTTGAGCTAAAGATAATTCATATTTGTCTTTTCAGTCTTGTAATAACCGCAGAACTGAAGTCTGTCAATGTCAACATGTCTATTTAGAATGTCCCTAAGACCCATGCTTGCCCTGTGTGTCACTGGAACAGGAACAGATGACAAATTCACTGGTGGTACTTTCAACCAGCACGGAAGGCCTTTCCTTTGGGATCTGACAGGATGACTACACCCCAACAAGCAATACCTAGGGGGAAAAAACAACAACAAAAAACAGGTTATATGTATGTTGCATTTTTAGTTTACCAGGTGCTTTCATAGGCAATCTTATTTAAGATGTACTTCCACATATTGCATGGTGCCTAAACAGGGTTAGGTTGCTAAGGTAACAGGTTTTGAACCAATTTTGGGAGACATAAAAAGAACATTACAACATTCCTAGAAGATCTATTACCATTATATCTTCTTAACAGAACAGTGAAAAGGGAAAAAGTTCAGAATGGAACAAAGAACATTCTGTTATTACCCCAGCAAGAAAGGAACTTAAAGGGAATTGATCCAAACAATCAATTAAGAAGGGGAAAGATCTGAAAAATGCTAATCGTTTAATTGGTTTAAAGAATTGAAAAAATCACATTTTACTGGAAGACATCTTGACAACCACTCAGTGCTACAGGTGAGTACTGTTGGCCACATTAACCAGTGGCACACTTAGTATAGGAACTTTGAACTCATATCTGAGACCTGACTTTAAGATAAAGTTTCCTTGTTCAGGCTTTCTCTAGGATCTGCAGGGAACAAAACAAAACAAAACAAAACAAAGCAAAGCAAACATGGGCTTTGGGGTCAGATAAACCCGGAATCAAAAAACCGTTCTGTCACTTTCTGGGTTTCTGACCTTGAACACGACATACACTAATCCTATAGATTCTACTAACTCTTACAGTGGTTAAAAAGCATGAAGCTAACACAAGTTCTCTAGAAGGACTGTGGTTGTTAGGTGGATAGGAAGACAGATAAATGCGTCCCAACTTCTTCCTGGCCCTGCATCTTGTTTGGGGTGCTTCCTGCCAAGCGCCTAGTCGACCCAGCGCCCGCCGCCCACGTGGCTGCACCAGGTTCCTCCCTCGCCCCAGTCTGCGCTCCAAAGGTTTGGGCCCCGAGGCTCACTGATGCCGACGACCATCTGCGTAACAGTCCCTGGACTCGGAGCGTATCCCATCTTCATGGGCTTCCTCGCCACCCAGTACACGTACCCGCCCGCCCCTATCAGCCCGAACCCGGAGAGCAAGCGGCAGCTCCAGCAGTTGTTGATTATGGGCGCTTGTGCTGGAGAGGTGGGCGCTCCGGGGGCTGCGAGGGGCGCGGGCTTGGCGGAGGAGGTGGGCTCGGGAGGCGAATCGACCTTGACTTGCTCGAGAGGCTGGGATGCAAGAGAACCCATGTTCAGATCTCAGCCTTCAGGTCTACGAGCCTTTGGATCAGGCTGACGTAAAATTTGCTGCCGGAAAGTAAAGCGCCGGCGTGCTGCGCCGGAAGAAGCCGAAAGGGCTGCTGGGAAATGTAGTTCTTGCTGCCTCGCCAGAGTAAAAGATGGAGGTACCTGTAGCCATGGATTTCTGTGGAAACTACCTGGTTCGTGCCAGACGCCACCACTCCCTCCCCCCGCAGCAATTGTTTTAAAAATTCTTACTTAGCTAACTCCTAGAAATATCTCAACTCTCAGTCTCCGTAGAAGAGAAGTCGGCATTTCTAAGTTTCCTGCCTAGCACGAAAACGGTGAGATCTTGGACAAGTCACGTCGCCTGTCCGGAGGCGAGCGACCCGAAATAGTTTATGTTCTTAGCTGTATGCTAGACCCTTTGCTAAGGGTTTGGCTCCACCTGCATTTAATCTTATGAGCCCAGAGGGGTATCAGTTTCCCAATATATGACAAAACTTCTTAAGTGTCATCATCGTTTAAACTAATGTTGAAGAGTCAACTCCTTAAATGTCAATGGTTTGTTTTGCGAAGAGACTACACAAATAGGATCAGGCATTTAAAATGGGTTTGAATTACCTCGATAAATAGTTGCAATTTTTTCTTTTCTTTTTTTTAACGTCATCATCTCAGTTTTGTCATACTCATGGTATTGTTTCTGCTTTGGGGGGCCTGGAGAAAATTAAACTCAAAATCCAGCTGATGGGTTTGGGAGTTAATGTAGGATCTGTTCTTACAGCTTTACATTCTTGTCCTTCAAAATGGACATTCAAACCTTGATTGCTCCTTTGTAATTCGGTATCATTCATTCCCAATTCATTTCACCTTTCATTTCCTTTGGGTAAAGTTGGGTGTATATTTCTTTTACTTGGTTTGGTTGTTCTCAGGATTAGTACTAAGAAACAAAAGCATTTAGAGTTCAGAGGTTGTTTCTATTCGAGGGGATGGTTGAAAAAAAGTTTAACTTCAGGTTTGAAATTTTCTCCTTTAGAATGGCTTAAAAGATAACATGCTGGAAAAACATTCATGATCCAACGTAATAAAACAGGATGTGATTTTGTAATCGCTAACAACAAAAAAGACAAATATAAAGCAATGGATAAATAGGAGAAAATAAAATAATAAGAATAATAATTGGGTTGGCCTACTGCTGGATTTCAAATACTCTCCCATATCATTACTCACACATGTATATCCATGTGTTGTCTAGTAGAAAGACAAAGATTTGGGAATTTGATTCTAGGCTCTGTTTGTTACTACCAGTCAGTCTATGACTTAAAGAACATTCTTTTTTTCTCTCTGGCCCATGGTCACTTCATGTTTGAAATAAAGAGATTTGGAAAAGGTGATATCTAACATCCTTCCCTAACTTGAAACTTAATATTTAATGCTAGGAATCTCTCTTCATCTAGTATACTAAATATCATATGAATGAATTCAATAGTAAGTCACTTAGATATTCATAGTGTGTAACTGCTGTTTCTCACTACACATGATCCAGCATTATATAGTGGAAGGATTTCTCCTTATTTATGTGAAAAAAATTGTCATTTGTCAGTAGTTTTCAAATATTTTTATTTCACACTACTGTGGATAAAGACTGAGCACACAATAACATGCACAAATGCCTACTGTTATATCTTAATATAATACTTCATTAGGACAAGAGAAAATAATAGAAATTTCAGTATTTTCTCACATATCATAGTTATTTGCCATGTAACTTAATTCATATTTTACCTAAAAACTTAAGCTTCGTTACTGTGCTTTCCACAATTAAGAATGTTAGTAGAGAACAGCTTTAATTTTCCAAACATACTACTAAAATAGCCTATAACATATTTTCCATATAATAATTTTATTTTACTCTTTATGTCTAAGTTCATTTTGATTCTTAAGACTCACCAGGACTTACAATCTCTCATATTTATTTATAAATTTGAAAAATGCAAAAATATAAATGGTATACTTTATATACTGTTCCCCTGCCACTGAGTTCCTTTCCCTAATACAGCCTTTTTTCTTTTTATCAGAGTCTTGTGAGTATTTCAGAGATGTCTCTGTGTATGTGTATATACTTTTCTCCACTGATTTTGGAGATCATTCCTTATCAGTCAGTATGGAAGAGTTTCTTCATGGTTTTCTATTGGGCTATGTACTTAAAATGTATTTTATTTTATGGCTATGTACTGTACTATATTTAATTGCTCATATTAATGGACATTAAGGTTGCTACCACTCATTTACTATCATTGATAGTACAACAGTAAATAATCTTGTGCATTCATCATACTGCAATCATACAAGTAGAATATATTTCTACAAAGGTATGGTATTTATAATTTTTTTTATTAAATAAGATTCAGTTATTTATTTAGAAAGATTTATTTATTTATTTATTTATTTATTTATTTATTTATTTATTTATTTATACAAGCACTGGGTACAGTCAGAAGGGAGGAGGGTGAGAGAATTCACCAGAGCCAGAGCTGGGAGCAGAGCAGGCAGAAGGACCGAAATACGCTGCTGAGGGGAGCAGCGGGCAGCAGGAGAGGTCTTCGTGCCATGTGGGACCCTCCTCCGGTGGCCTGGGAGCAGCTGGGGATCGAACTGGCGCTGCAGAGGCTGCGGGCAGCTTCGCAACCCAGCGCTCAACTGCTGCGCCACTGGGGAGACCCCTGGTATTTATAAATTTAATGGACTTTGCCAAGTTGCCCTTCACAGAAGTTATACGAGTTTACTGTCACCCACAAGTGTACAAAGAATGTTGGCCTGTCCAGTTCCCCCAGTGATTTCTGCCAATCTGATACGTGAAAATGGTTTCATTTTCCTTGTCTTAGTATGAGGACAATTCCTATTTCTTTTTCTGTGAGCTGTCAATACCTTTTACTTTTCCAATGGATTGTGTTTTTCTCATTGACTTTTAGGAACACTTTCACATTAGCGAGATAAACCATTTGTAGTAACAATATCAACTAGGATATTTTTTTCCCTTTTTGATATATTTTGAGAATATCAAATAGGATATTTTTCTCTCTATTTGATATATTTTGACTTTGCTTGTTGAACTTCTTAGTATGTTCACTTTATTTTATTTACTTTTTAAAAAAGATTTATTTTATTTATACAAGAGCCGGGGTACAGGCTAGATGCGCTGGAGGGTGAGAGGATTCACCAGAGACAGAGCAGGGAACAGAACAGGAAGACTAACGAAATACACTGTTGAGGGGAGCAGTGGGCGAGACAGGAGAGGTCTGCTTGCCAAGTGGGTTGCTCCTAGGCAGGTGGGGATCGAACCGGCACTGCAGAGGCTGTGGACAGCTTCACAGTGCTGTGCTCAACCACCTGTGCCACCAGGGAGGCCCCATGTTCATTTTAAAAACAGTAGTTGAATTTATCTGTCTTTCCCTTTATAGTTTCAGAGTCTTATATTATAATTAGGAAGTCCTTCCACTTTCATTGTTTCCCCTGCTATTGTGATTTTTTTTAACATGTAAAACTTGAATACATTTGTAATTTACCCTATTATTGATTTTCAAGAATGGAATCAGATTTTTCTTTTTTTCCCTCTTACTTGTTTTACTCAACTCTATTTAATATGTAGTCTACCTTTTCCCCAAATATCGGAAATGGCCCTGATTCTAAAATACCGTGTCTGTTCCTAGACTTCATATTCTATTTGATCTGTCTATTTGTATATGTGCTAGTATCACACTACTTTAGTAACTTATACTAATGTGATTATACTGGGAAATCAGTTCTTCCCTAATACTCTTCTCTTCCAGACTTTTCTTAGCTATTTTTATTTGTTTATTTTTCCAAGGGGCTTTTGACTCATCTTGGTTATTCTGACAAAATGATGCTGGCATCTTTATTATACTTTTGTTAAAATTATATGTTAATTTAGGAGACTTCACATCTTTATGATAGTGAATCATCTTTTCCAAGGCTATGGAATGCCTTTTCTTTAGTTCATATCTTACTTTTTGTTTTTCTGTAGTATCGAATAAAGTTATTTTTAAAATGATCTCACACATTTTCTTTCAGACAGTCTGTCTTTTGTGTTATTATTGAAAATAAGGAATTTTTCCTTCTTTCCATCTAATTGCTGTTTAAATAATGAGGTAATCATTGATTTGCATATATCCTAATGTTGAAATGTGGTTGGTAGTTTCTTTTGTACAATCCTTGTCAGTTTTGGGAATCAATTCTATGCCTAGTTCATAAAGAGAATTTGGAGGCATCTTTTCTTTTGTTCTTTTAAACAATTAAAATACCATTGGAATTATCTACTTTTTAATAGTTTTGTGAGAATATCCCTTTGAAATTTTCTAGACCAGGCACTTTAATTATTTGGGGAGCTGCAGATTGATAAAGGAGGTAGGGAGAGAGATTATTTGATATCTTTCTCTTTGTATTTTGGAAATCTGTTTAAATTTTCTGCTAGAAATTATTTTGGAAATTTGTAATTTTTGAAAATTATCTACTTCATCCCAGTTTTCAAGTTTACTGGCATTAAATTAACAAGAGTAGTGTTTTATTATTCCTTTAATTTCTTTATACTCTGTGGGGAACTTGTCAATGTTACCTTTTAAGTGAAATAAGGATCTTCACACATCTTAATAAGGATCTTGTGGTGTAATGATTAAGCTGGATTTTTCTGGGAATGCAATCAAACTGTCCTAAAAAAGTAGCATGCAGAAGGGGAGTACACACAGAAGAGAAGGCACTGTGACTATTGAAACTAAAAATTGGAATGATGTGACCACAAGTCAGGGAATGATGGACATCACCACATGCTGGAAGAGGCAGGGAACAAATTCTTTAGCGTGTCCAAAGGGAATTCATACCTAGCAACATCTCGATTTCAGGTCTTCTAGAGTGATTTTGGACTCTGACTTCCACATTATGAAAAGATGAATTGTTTCTGTCTTAAGTCACCAGATCTGTGGCTGTTGCAATAACCACAGGAAATTAATTAAATTTGATTAAACCTTTGTCCAAGATTCTGCACCCTGAAG